GGATTCAAGCCCATCTCTGATTTCAAAGCCCAGAGCTTTCCAACAGCAAGAAGAACACAGACAGCTGTGCTGAAAGGCGGCCATGGGAATTCTGAGTGTGCAAAGATACTGTGGTTCTTAAAAAAACTTTTTGAGTTTGTGTTTGTGTGTATGTGTGTGAGAGAGAGACAGAGAGACAGAGAGACATAAAGAGAGATACAGAGAGACAGAGGGACAGAGAAACAGAGAGAGACAGTTAGAGAGACAGAGACAGACAGAGACAAAGAGAGAGACAGAGAGACCCAGAGAAAGAGAGAGAGAGATGAAGAGACAGAGAGTAACAGAAGACAACTTGTGGGAGTCATTTCTCTCTTTCTAGTATTTAGGTCCCCAAGATTAACTCAGGTTATCAGGCTTGGCAGCAAGTGTCTTGGCCTACCAAGCCATCTCATTGGCTGCTGCTGTGCAATGGCATGGTGGAAATGAGTCTTTGGCATTGACAAAATGGAAGAATGCAGTATTAAACTTGAGTCACGGAGACAACCTGGAAGTTGAGCTTCAACTCTGTCCGAGTTGATTTGGATCTCAGCGTGGAAGTGTAGTCAAGGCTACAGGGATGCCTGAACACACCAAGTACACAGAGCAAAGAGAGCAAAACTCAACACTTTTTATCAGGGATAACCCTGTATCCTCTCAGCATGGGCTCTTCCCATGAAACACGAATGACTGCGGTTTGGGGCTCAGTCATAGTTTGCAGCCCACGGAAGAGGGAAAGACAAAAGAGAGCCAAAGAGATGCTCAAAAGGTCAAAGAGCACAGTGTCCAGGAAGCCAAAGAAGCGAGGGACTCAAAAGAAGGACCAGAGGCACCTAGACACCCAGGACAACGAGGATCTGGTTCAAAATACATGAAATGCATTCATTGCTCTTACATCGCGGGAATGGAGAACACTAGTGTGTGGGTTCAAGTCCCACAACTGTTAATGCTCTTTTCTAAAAACAAAAGAAAGAAAAAAAAACATATAAAAATGAAAAAAAAAGAAAGGACAATAGAAAAAATTAAGTGACAACCTAAACTTCAGGGAATGAGAAGCTTTGAATATAAAGCCATTTGCTAAACACGCTTTGGCAGAGCTGACAAATGGTGTATCTTCATTACAGCGTCTTCCTTCTGTTATGAAAAGGGTCCAAACGACACAAAACAAGTTCCTGCAGGAAGCCCCACTGTCCTTTATATGAATGTGGAATCTACTCCATATATTTATTCTTTAAGAAATTTCCCATACTTCCTAAGGGGCGGGGGCTATGCTAGCCCACTGTCTGAAAACAAGAAAGAGCCATCCGGTGCAGAAAGTGGAAGACCTTACTGTTAGCCTGTACTCAGTAGAACTCATAGAAAAATGGGAATCATGGTTTACTTCCTGGACACAGGCTTTAAAAACTGGACCACACAAAAACTTCTACTAATACAAAAGCCAGACCCTGAAAAAAACAGAAACAAAACATTCATTAATCACAGGTTAGCCCTCCTCAAGAGAGAGATGTTAGTTTGTTTATTCTTGGGTGACATTTTCTGAGAGCATATTTTTTTCATTCAGAAAATTAATTGTGGGATTAATGGTATCTAAATAAAAGGCACATGGGCAAATGCATCAAGATGTAAAGGGTTTAAAGGACTTTATCAGATGTGCCTTGAATTTAACCAAAGCATTTCTGAAAGTGAGACTGGTGTCTTTTGATTATAATTCCAAAAGTACATGATAATGCAATGATTTAATGTGTTAGTTTAGATTTATTAAAACAGACTAGCTATAATCAAAGTCATGTGCTGGCTACTCTTGTATCAACTTGGGACATGCTAGAGTCATGAGAAGAGGGATTCTCAATTGAGAAAATGTCCCCCACCAGACTGGCTCATAGGCAAGTCTGTGGGGGCATTTTCTTGATTAATAGCTGGTGTTCTGGGAGGGCCCATCCCACTGTGGGCAGTGCCATCCCTGGGCAGTTGGTGCTGAGTTATATAAGGAAGTCTGCTGAGCACACCATGGGGAGCAAGCCAGTAAGCAGCATTCCTCTATGGTCTCTGCTTCAGTTCCTGCCTCCATGGTCCCGCTTTGAGGTCCTGTTCTGACCACCCTCTGTGATGAACTGTTCCCTGGAATTGTAAGTGAAATAAACCCTTTTCTCCTCAAGTTACTTCTGGTTGTGGTGTTTTATCACAATAGAACGTTAACTAATGAAAAAGGATGCCCCAGTAGATGATGCTCCAATGGGATTCTTCATTATTATTATTATTATTATTATTATTATTATTATTATTATTATTTGTTTTTGAGACAGGGTTGGATGTAACAGAGGTTGGCCTTGACCTCTCTATCTTCCTGCCTCTACCTCTCAAGGGTGGGTGGGAGTAATGGACATGTACCCTCATTCCAAACTTTGCATTCGCTAAGATTAAAATATTCGAGAAATATGAATAATTCACATATGCATTTCTGTTGTTTCTATATACAATATGTACAGAAGTCTCACTTATTTGGATTTCTATTATTTATTAAGTCTGTTACTAAAAGCAATTTTAGTACAAATGTATAATTTTACGTAAATATAACCAAAAAGCATTAAAGTTTTTGGGGTCACAGCACATTGTTTTCAAAGCTAGACTTACCAGAGGGGATAATGCTTATCTTCACTTTTCCCAAACACAACCTCCCGGAGATGTTCATAGGTGACCATCCGACCTCCTGAATACACTGCATGAGACAGACAATGGAAATACAAATTCAGTCTTGTATCTAATGAAATGAGAGGAACTTGTGACCTGGCCTCTTTTAGTCTTCCAAAGGAGGAATTCTTGCTCCTTCTCTGACCTCTAGAGTAAAGCCTCCCTTCTCTACCTTGTTATCCCTCTTTGTCTTTTAGGATTTGGCTCACTCTGTTTTTTAGAAAGTGGCTCTTTGACCTTCCTCTCAGCATCCTCGGCCCACATGGCATGTTCGAACACAGCAACTATCAAGTTCATGAGTAATTAATTTCTTTTTCCCTCAGGACTTCTCCAGGTGGGTTCTCGGTATTGGTTATTTATTTATTTATTTATTTATTTATTTATTTATTTATTTATTTATTGGCAGACATTAATTCACCAAACTTGAGTCCATTTATTGACTGACACACAACTACATAGACGCTCAAGGTTTTAAGGGTTTCTGAGTTCTAGAACTTGAAGGAAGGCTAAGGAAGAAGAGCTATATCTGCCTTCTTGTTCTCATTTTGACCATCTTGAGCACCACCACAGAAAGGGGAGGAGAAACAAACTGGAAGGGAACCTCACAAAATAGCCTGTGTGTGGATTTTAACTCAAACACACACGTAGGGAGCTTGGTGTACAAAGGATATTCTCTTTGAATAAACACTTGTAACCGCACTGGAGGATTCATTAACAGTCTTCCCTTTCAGGTTTTAAGCACAGGAGAAAGATCTTAAGTGGAGAACAATGTAGTGGCCAACACAATGAAAGAGGCAAAGCATAGAATAATGGGGTCCAAAAGAGAAATACTCTAAAAGGTGGTTAATGGCATCCTTAAAATCAGTACACCATGCCCATACAAGAGATTTTCTTGATAGTTTAGGAAGTTTGACTTGGTATTTAATAAAAAACAAATACAAATTACAAAATAGTATAAGTTTCTGACTCTCGTATAAGATTTTGACTCTCGTAAAAAATTCTATGCTAACCTATGCTAATAGAATATTAACAGCAATGATTAAAACTAATGCTTTCTGGACCAAGGAAACAGCAGGAGGTGGAGGTGCAAAAGGCCACACTATGTCAACATCTCTTTGGAGCCAACTTCATGGTCTCCTGTCTACAAGCCGAAAGGTCAGTGACATCCGTTCCTGTGAATGGTGCCTTGGAAGCAGGGTTAGAAAGGTCTTCTCTGAGACATTTACCACTAATAACCCACAGAAGTAGCCTGGGAACAGAGGCAGAGGCAAGTTCACCTGTGCTCCGTCTACCCTAGTCCCACAACTAGACGTGGCAAGGCTCCTTGCTCTGTCAGATCAGCCTAGTTGGTCTCTGATGTACAGAGCAAAGATAAATATATTTCAATTTTCAAAGAACATAGAAGTTCATTCGGAACTTTGAATTTAAAAACCTATTTCAGTTTTTACTGTACTTAAGTTTTCTGATGTAAGGGAAAATGATATAAATTATTCATGTTTCTCTGTCTTATACCATTAAAGAACTTACAGGGAAAAAATATTAAACAGATAACCAAGTAGAAACAATTATAGCTCCCTTTATATGAATTTTTTTAAGTGATAACACTTTTTTAATTATCCTAAAGTGATTTATAGATAGGGTGGTAGTTTATAGTTTTTTCCATGTTTATGTATGTGTGGTGTGGTTGGTGTGTAGATATGCTCACATGTGTGGGTACGCTCTCACGTGTGCACTCACAGAGGTCTGGGCTGACATCAGATGTCTTCCTCTAGACCTTCCACTTTATTTACTGATCACCACTTCCAGCTAGCCCAGCTGGCCAGCCTGACCCAAGGATCTCCTGGACAGTTTACTTCCATATGCCATTCTCAAAACTCAGGGCACTAACTCCTTAACAACTGGAGATATTTTCTTCTACTGACTTATTGTATCAGTGGGAAAACAAAACAAAACAATATCCTCGCTGGATTTTGGATACAGCTGAAGAGAAAAGCAAAGAATACAGAACTCATAGCAAACTTACCAGTTAGAATCAAGATAAATACCTACGTGTCTGTAAATGGCGGGCGTCACTCCTTGCCACAACTTTAGAAAGCCTTCCTCCTGGACAATTCCTAGGGCCGTGCGCACCATGCCCCTATAAGGGGCAGATCCAGTTGCACCATCTCCCAACCTAGCAAGGGCAGCTTCTCCTTGCATCTGGAGTCGGGTTTTTGTGAGATCGAGGGGAAAGGTTGCTAATGAAATAAAAAAAAAAAACAAACAAACAAACGAAGGGGAGGAAAACCCAAAACATTCAGACAGACAAACAAAACCTCTCAAATCATAGGATTAATATTCTCCCACGGTTTGGAGATTCTGAAGTATGAGAATATAGTAGAAAAGAATCAGGCAGGGAATCTGTGAAAGTCACACTCCTCCTATCCCACTCCCACACATTCTGAATTAGTAGATGGATGATTTAGAAAGTAGAGTCTCATGCCTTCTCAAATCTAAGACTTGCTGTTCTAGAGCATCCCCAGATTTTTTTTTAAAAAGCAAAACCAAAATAATCTACAGAAGTAGAACAACCCTCTATCTCTTTTCAATAAAAATGCTCACTATCAAACCCGCTTTGATTTTCCCAACGAGAAACAGCTTATAGTGGCCATATTCTGTTGTGTCTCCTTGGGCCGCAGCCACGATCATTTGAGACCGGATACAAATTTAGAATACACTTGAAGCTGAATTCTACAATTTCCTGGGTGTTTCCCCTTGAGAACAGATCACAGAACTGATGTTTGAGAGGCAGGAGATGCAATGAAGTCAGAATGTCTTCACATACAGGGGTGGCAATGCTCAACACTCTTCAAACTGAGGTAAATATTTAGTTATATTTTTCTGAACTGTTAAGTCTTACACATGGTCCATTCATGAGTTCTTTGTAAGTCTCAACTTTATTCATTGGAAAATTTGTTTACATGTTGAATTAGGAACAGTTTTTTTTTTTATTTATCTGAAAGCATATTTTAGCTACCCAACCCACATCAGGAAGATCAGACTTATAACATCACATACAATGCCCTGAATAATTCTAAGGGGGGTATTGAGAAGAGCTCATAAATATTGCTGATGGTACTTACGATTTTCCAGTGACCACTACCTGGCCCAGAATCCAT